AGTGGAGTGTAGTGCGGTGTTTGAGTGCAGTTTTGTGCAGTGCAGTGCAGTGCAGTGCAGTGCAGTGCAGTGCAATGCAGTGCAGTGCAGTGCAGTGCAGTGCAGTGCAGTGCAGTGCAGTGCAGTGCAGTGCCGTGCCGTGCCGTGCCGTGCCGTGCCGTGCCGTGCCGTGCCGTGCCGTGCCGTGCAGTGCAGTGCAGTGCAGTGCAGTGAAGTGAAGTGAAGTGAAGTGAAGTGAAGTGAAGTGAAGTGAAGTGAAGTGAAGTGAAGTGAAGTGAAGTGAAGTGAAGTGAGAGAGAGAGAGAGAGAGAGAGAGTGTGTGTGTAGGGGGAAACTCTGCACCACAGCCCTGGCTAAAGAGAGAGAGAGAGAGAGAGAGTGTAGGGGGAAACTCTGCACCACAGCCCTGGCTAAAGAAAGGGAGAGCGAGAGCGAGAGGGCAATGGCGAGGGCGAGGGCGAAGCGAGGGCCGGGAGAGATCCCGCTGATATTTTCGATGCCAACATCTGCAATCTTTTGCCAAAGGCAGCCTAACGCTGCTGGGCATGCAGTTGCTATGGGCACGTACAATCATGTTGTACTGTTCGCACTTTTTCGTGCGGTGGGCCAATCAGAGTGCAAACCTTCCGAAGCAGAATGCACCTTAAAGTCGAGATCGGGGGCATGCCCGGCGATCGCTGCAGCTTGGCCAATAAACGGTGGTGTTCCTCATTTCTGACTTATACTGCATCCTGTTTACTTTTGCATCCTTTGTCGTGGCCCACAATAATTATGGATTATGTATGGGTGTCTAAGCCCTCGAGTGTGGACTGCTTACAAGTTCTCGGCGCCCGCACACGCGGGGGCGCAGCAGCACGCGGTGGGGGGCCAACCCCAACCCCAGCCTTGGCGAAAGAAAGACAGATGACAATTCGGGCATGTTTCCCATGAATGGGTTCCTCGATGACCCGGCAGTCGAAGCCGAAAGCTGCTGATTAGGTCGAATTATGAGGCTATTGTACATCATGCGCCAGCACTTGCACTTGCATAAGTTACGGATGGTCAGATCGCAGGCTTAGACCATGTTAGACCGATAAACGGACGTGGCAATGACCGACTGTAACCACAAGGCTGCGATTTGTCAATCCGGACTCAGACATGTTGTTCACTCTCCATTACTGTCCAGGAGCTTTGCCGCACGAAAGTCATTGGAGTGCCGCATAGTGCGCCACCCACATTGCCAGCACTCTTTAAACACTCCCTTGGTGACCATGAAGGCAAGAACTTGAATCTGTACGTCAAGCGGCACAGGGACTGAGAGTGTGATTTGCAGCCTTGTGAGGCACTTGTGATTGAAAGTTGACCCTGAGTTTAGTCCCCGGCCGTGGGCAGGAAGGGGCAGGCCATGCAAGGGGCAGGAAGGGTCTCTGAAGCGGAGGGCCGGCATTGAGTCCGCGACTTGTTGTCGGGATTACCCGGGCAAAGCAGGACCGAGATTAGGGACAAGCCCATGATCGTGGAAGCAGGAAGTAACGGGGCGAAGATGGGCGAAGTTATCAGTTTATCGGACCACCACCATCCAAGATAATGCGCACTGAACGTAGGCTGACGCCGGGATATCGTGATCATTGGCAAAACCGCGATAAGAATGACAAACAGGTCTCCTGGAAGACAGGTCAGGCATTGCAGTTATGAGTACGTGAAAAACATGTTTCCTGACATTGTTCCACGATTTGGTCTGCCTTGGCAGTAAACTAGCCGTCAGACTTTGACCGAACATATTGTTTGACCGCCTTGAGTTCGAGCATAGCATGGGTGTGAGCGGCAGCGTCAGTCACTGAAGAGCGTTTGTTGATTGAATTTGCCCGACTGCCCAGCTGACCAAGATACATGCCGTTGACCCTGGGCTTTGACACTGCGCGGCGATTGCTGAGTGAGGCTGTTTCAGCGGCCGGAGGAAACTGTCAGCGTAGTAAGAGACGTAGATGCGAAAGGTGGCCGGGAACATATTTGTTGATGCCCTGAGCTCAAACAAGCGGCCTGACTGCACCAATGGTCGCATACACTTGCTCTCGTTTCCCTGAGCTTGAACAGGTACTGGCACTTCATCCGGTGTGGCGAGGACCTGCGTTGTGGTCGCCAGTCGTGGCTTCAATATTGATTCATGTGGATGCATTGCCAGTGAAGGATGCCCTGACCGTCGAAGTTGCACTGCAAACACGGAGCACATTCTCTGAGCACCTTGCATGTTACTTGTACCACAAAAACCTGGCCAAACATATCAAGATCCTACCATAGTCTTCTTCGGGACTTCTGTCCCAATGTCTCATGCGAATGCACCCTCCTGTGCCCTGGCACCGCTTGCCTCTTGCTTTCAGTCAGCAGGACAGCGTTTCTGATGTTGTTTGTTCTGTGATGCCAGGTCCTCACCATGGGACGGCAAGCTCACCACATCTCTGACAGCCAGAAGGTCCTCTCACTAAGGCATCACCGGGGCGGCCAGCCAGCGTCTGCTGCGGTGTCCAGGAAACGCTGACGCAAACCGTCAACAATCTATGCGAGGCTTCACAACAACTTCTTGGCCATGAATCTCTGCCTGTCGTTTGCCGTTTCCTCTCTGTTCTTGAGGTCGTCCAGTCACGGCGTCGGTCTGGCAGATATTCTGGTGTGGGGATCCAAGTCGACACGCGGCAAGTTGCCGCGAAATCGCGACATCGCGCGTAAGCGCACCTCTTCAGGTGGTTTTGATCAGCCGCCAGCTCATTGAAACCTTGCCTGAGATGGACGGCATCTAAACCTAAAAGACTTCTCGCTAGAGTCGGACTGGAATCCCTTGGCGCCTGGCCATGGCCAGGACCAGCTGAAAGCCGAGATCGCTGCGATCGTCAAGGCCGAGGCTGGCGGCTGGCGTCTGTCGGAGTCGGACGTACCACTGAACTAGTCCTTTTTAGGGCTCCTGTGTTCGCAGGCTGCGGGCAAGAATCGGCAGCCGTTCCCGACTGAGGCCAACGTGGCCTGGTAAGGGGGGACACATTGACCGATGAGAAGACGGCGGTTGCACGGAAGCAACTGCGACAGCTTGGGCTTTGCCTCAAAGCCCATGCCAAAGGTGGACTCGCGATTGAAGTCAGACGCCACCAAAGCTCTCTTCAAGCGCTTGCCGCGCTTTGCCGGGGCCACAGTTCAGATCCTGATGCACGTCCGTTGCCACCTGGAAAAGGTGCAGATGAGTATGATTCGCAATCGTGACTGCGGTAGCCTCAAATCTCGGCGTGATGTTTACCTGGCAGTCGACTCTGACTGGGTGCAGTGCCACTGTGTTCTGCCAAGCTTCTGGACTGCCCGTCCTGCCCAAAGACTTGGAAGCGGCCGCTGCCTCAGCGCCACTGTTCTGTTAGAAGCAACCAGAAAGCTTTACTTGGTGCAGGAACGCATTCTGGGCCGCTTCGTTCAGCAGGAACTTCGCAACCAACCACCTGTCAAAAAGGTGTGCGGCTAACCTCTGAAAATTCTATTGTGTTTTGGATACTGCTCGTTTTCTACCAGGTAAAGGCAACCTTTGCGCCACGCTTCCATGCCATGGACCTGATGACCAGCTCGCCACTGTCGACGGCTTACCATTATAGCAGCTAGACCTTGTTGAGACTGCATAGGTTGAATGAATGGTCTGGCAGCATGGGGTTTCTCGCTGTCCTGTTTATCAAGACTGAAAGCTTATGTTTTCGTGCTCCTGTTGGATTCGCCGAGGCCTTCTGCTTTCGACTGCGCCTTTGGGCATGGGCCCCAACCATTCCGCGCCTGCTGTTCTGCGCACCGGTCTGAGAACAGGTCAGAACAGCAATCGCGCTTGTTGGCTCGAAGGTACGCTCTGGGACACACCGCAGCCTTGCTTGTCTACGAGCGCCGAAATTTCTACGTCGCCTGCTGTGCAGGCACACCCGCCGATTGACTGCTTACCATCGCGTAGTAAAGTCGTCTTCGGTGTCGGCCTGCAAGGTATGCACCGCAATACGCGCTACTGGGAGCCTTGTGCCATTCCATTCACGTACTTGTACCCAGAGGTGCGGCATGTTTGCGTCTATCCCCTGTGGTGCGAGCCTTTGACCGGTATCGTGCCGTTCTTTGCCCAGCTTGGTTCATGCTTCAACTGACACCCGGCACATCTCGGCAGTGCAGCTCGGCCGTGCCCAATACCAACTGCTCATAGCCGGCTTGGCATACGCCTTCTGGAATAAACTTCAAAATTTCAACTTTAAGCTTTTCTCGCGGCATTGCCCTCAGTAGTCCAAGCATTTCTTGGTTTCAGGCAAGAGCAAGGAATGACAGCTACTCTAAGCCACAGAGCGCAGACGCCTCATGTGCCTGCCATGGCATCTCCTGGAATTGCACTTCTGAAGAATGCTGATGGCTACGATGACGTGGCAGCTTTCTCGAAACCATGCGTAGTTGTAATCTCAGTTGCTCTAAGCGTTTTAGCATGCACTGCAGTGGCAGGCAGCCCGGGTGAAGCCATCAGCGGCTGCTGCCTGGGAGCACAGCTCAGCCTTTTATCGGCCAAGTCTTGCAGAAGAGCGGTGGCCATGTGCCAAGTGGTCGGCCTGTGCCCAGGACGTTCCCAGTGGAAGTTTGGTCGAGGTCGTGGAGGTGCACATTTCTTGCTTGCACTGCTTGCTGCTCATGCGACTCCGATATGGGAAGGAGTGGGTTGACTGTGAACACGGGACAAGCCGAGGTCCCTGGCATAGCGTGCAAAACTCGTGCAAAGATCAAGAATAACAGAGCTTCAGCGCATTGACTCGCAAGGCTTCATAAAGTCGAAGAACTTGCCCTCGGTTGCATCAGCCACTTCTGGCGACTGGTTGGAGGCATCTTTCGACTACTGCAGTGCATTGGTCGACAGACCCCTTCGGTCGTGGCAGGTGCGGGACAGCTTCGCAGGCACGGGAAGCGGGAAGTGTCGCAGGGTTCCTTCTCGCGGCATCGGTTCAGGCAATGACGAAACCTGCATGCGGCGGCATTGTGAGCAAGATGCTTCTGCAGGTGCGTTGCTGTCCTTGGCATTTGCCACAGTTCGCGAAACATCTCGTGACCAACAATTCAGGTAATGTGGTCTGCTTCGTCCCGAATGGGCCGAAGATTGTAAAGATGGTAGACAGATGGACTGAGTGTAGGCAGGAATGGTTTCAAGCTTCAAGCTTGTGGGTAGTTAGCCGATGTCACATGTGCACAGGTGGCGCGGTTACAAGCTTTTTGTCAAAGCTCGGCACGTGCAGCCTGCGCCGGCCGGCGCAAGCTTGGATACCGCAACGCGGCATTGCCAAGCTGATGATACCGTACTGACTACAGGAGAGAAGAGGGTACTTGTAGCCCTGGGTCCTGCCTGGGCCGGTCCTGTGCAGGTAGGCCACGTTGGCGGTTTGGGAAAGCCCGGGGCGCGTGCAAAAGCAGCTCCAGGCTTGCTGGGCATCACTTGCCGGAGCCCATGTAACGGCTGTAACGGCTTCAATCGTCTAGGTGCAGAAGAGGCGGAGCCGCCAGCCAAACGCTTGAAAAAAGGCGGGGCTTCATGGCGTCGGGGGGCGGGAGTGAAGTCGGCACTTGACGAGGTCGGCCTCCGTGCAAGCCGCAGCCACAGCATCTGCAGCAAGACTCTGCAGGAGGTCGCTGGGTTCAGCCGAGTGTGGCCGAGGTATGGGGCTGGCTGCTACCAGAAGAACCCGCTTCACAGGGCCAAGTATGAACCTTAGCCGTGTCACGCGTCTTCTGTGCTCACCGTGGTTTTTTCTTCATGACTTGGCGCTTCGTGGCACAGCGAGCCGACGAAGCACCAGCTGAGCTTCGAGATCTACTTCGAGAAATCTAAATATGTTCAGTGTTCACCTTGTGAACGTTGCACCCCCCATGACAGTTTAGCTTGCACCTACCCATAACGAACGAGAAAGCCGACCAGCGCTCGACGTATAACTTCGGGGTGTTCGCCGAGATTAGGTTTTTCTCCGAGAAGACTGCGGCATCCTACTTCGACAACTTCGAACGGTACAAGGGCAGCGGGTAGAAATCGATCAACTCCGAGATGAGGTAGGCGATTTCGCTAGGACCTTTTTCCAAGAGCCAGTAGCCAACGTAGTTAGACCCTCTTGAGTAGCACCTCCTTTAGACCGTGACCGCAGACGACGAAAACCTGCGAGGTCGTAGTTCCCGTCTTTGCACGCCTGTACGGCAGATGGATGTCTTAGCGTGTGCTACTCGATGCATGTAAGGCGGATGAATGCCCCAGTGTTTGTTTTTGTTACCTGAAGCCTGAAGCCCAGAACTTGCGATTTCCTTCACCGAAGTGCTAGCATTCCTCCGAGCAAATGACCTTACCTCGGTGGCACCCGCTCTTGCCGTTAAACCTGTCACGTCGATGGACAGGCTACAGACACCTCCGAAACAGCTTTGGTCGAGATAGTCCAGTGTCGACCTGACCTCGACCGAACGCTGGCAGCTCTCGAGAGGAGGCCCATGTCTCGAGCAATGGACCTACAGTGCCATCTACACCGACGCGCGCTTCAAACTAGGACACCAGATCTACCGCTCAGGCCACGAAGATCTGCCTAGTTGGAGTTGGAGCTCCAACGAGACCAATAACATCGATAACGGATGGGCTGCAGTCTGCTTCCACCGAGGTGATGTGCGACGAGCAGCCTGTTTCCAGGGACGATTACCCTCGGTGTTAGTACGACAGTTTTCCTAGGATCAAGTTTTCAGTTACTTGCTTGAAGCGTGGGCTGTGATCCAAGCCCTGAAACTCTTAAAATCTTTTCGAGCCTTGGTTGGATGAGTTCTACATACAATGAAGCATCGAGACATGCACTCATCAAAAGGATCAATAAACATCAACCACTGAGTTGCCTGGTGGCATGGACCTGGCATATTCGCCGAGGACTTGCACACCGATTTGAACGAGTACCTACCTAAGCTAATGTCTCCGATGCCTTGAGTAGATTCGAGGACATTGACGAGGCACGACATTAAATGAGGATCGGGTTGCCCCTGTCACACATTACGACTAGGGAAACGAAGATCATAGGTGATATCAGTTTTGCAACCGCCACTGGTTTTTCAGATGTCTTGGGCATCGACAAGATACATCGAGCCCTACGAGAAAGAGACCAGTGGGAGGACGGGACCACCACCGATGGGAAACGGTCGGTCCTCCTAACATCGAATGAACATGTCTGTACAACATGTTATCGAGACTTTCGATGGCTCCGATTAGACCGAAGGGAGTCGAAATCACAGAACACGCCACCGAAGCGAAAACGCGGTTGGAAAAAGGTGCGCACTGCAGGGATCTATGCACAACCTGTGAAAGCCTTTGTCGTCGTGTAGCACACTTGTGTGTGAAATGACAACCTGTTGCTTTCATCAATCACCGATCGACTCCGTGGATGTACATGAGTCGATCTCCGAACTGAGTCGATCACTCCGAACTGTATTATGCATTCCGTTGCCATTTTGGTATAAGCTTCGTAGCGAAGTTTTCTCCCTTACCCGCATTGAGGCGTTTCACTTGCCTCTGCTTTCATTCTGCGAGATCCGACCGGGAAACTGTCAGTCCTCCTAACGTCGACAGAACATGTCTGTGCGACATTTTATCGAGACTTTCGATGAATCTGATTGGATTCCGAAGAGGGTCGAGATCGCTTAACACGCCGCCGAAGCGAAAGGAGTTGAAAAGAAAGTGCGCGTAACAGGGATCTAGCACAATCGGTGAAAGCTGTTGTTGTCATTGCTAGTGTCACTAACCTTCTAGTAGTAACAGGTATAATCATCATTTTTAGCATTTTGTTGGTACCCTTACTGGTACTGTTACTAGTATTGTATTGCCATGATGGTTACTGTTATTATTGGCATAATTATGATGATGGTAATTATCATTGCGGACGCGATGGGCGACTGCACTCCGAGCGCATACGCCCGAGTATTCTCGAGTCTGCTCGAGTACATTCGAGTATGCTCGAGTATGCTCGGGTACGCCCGAATATGCTCGAGTATGCTCGGGTACGCCCGAGTATGCTCGAGTATGTTCGAGTACGCTCGAGTATGCTCCAATATGCTCGAGTACGCACGAGAGGCACGACAATGTATAGCAGTTATCAGAAAACACAGACCATGGTATTCACTACTATAATAAGACATACAACCTATATGGTATATGATATGCGATTGATTAGTATGTAGCATTTGCTATGTAATATCTGAGATACAAAGTACGTATAATATGCGTTGTACAGTATGTAATATATGTTGTGATAAATGTACATAACATTTTAATACGTGGTGTATAAAATAAAATCCAACACATATGTATATATATATGTGTATATGTATATGTATAATATATAAGCACAGGTGTATAGATGTATGTATATGTATATATGTATATGTATGTATATATCCACACACTATATTACATAATACAAAATCATTCAGTTCTTACATACCGTATATATTTCGTAGTGCACAATATAAGATGCATTATACAAAACACACAATACATAATATAGTATACAAAATATATAGACAGCATATAGTTTGTTCGATATCATGTATATGAAAAGATATTACACAGTATGTCATGTACATTCATGTGCTATATATAATACAATACTCGTGCATACCCCCGCGTACTCGCTCGTACTTAAAATTCTCGCGCGCACTCGGGCATACTATCACATACTCGGGCATACTCGCGCATACCCGCGACATACTCGCGCATACCCTCGCACACTCGCGCATACCCGCGCATACCCGCACATACTCGCGCATGCCCGCATGAAGCTGAGGTTTTCTCACCCAGGAGATGCGGACTTCGTTCCCGATGCAAGCGGAGAAGCTTCGGCCAGCTCGAGTGCAGAAACTCCTTCCGCCTCGGTTGGGGACACAACGGGGTCTGTCGATCCCGCACCTGCTGATGTGAAAATGAAAGAAGGGAGTGCAGCTGACGCTGAGCTCCCAGGCTCTGCCGCAGAACCGACAGTTTCCGCTCCGGCTGCGGCTCCAGCTGGCCTCACAGCGGTTGATGTTTCGGCATCGACAGTTCCAGAAGCTAAAGCTCCGCCAGAAGAGCTGCATGCTCCGCCCGCGATCCCCGACGCTTTGCCTG